TTTTAAAGTGTTGAATAACAAAGATGTCAGCTTGAAGACTAAGGTGTGCCTGACCTAGGCCATGGTATTTTCAATAACCTCATATGCATGCGAGAGCTGGGCAGTGAATAAGGAAGATTGTAGAAGAATTGATGCTTTTGAGCTATCATGTTGGAGGAGAATATTCAAAGCGTCATGGGATACCAAAAGAACCAACAGATATGTGTTGGAAGAAGTGCAGCCAGAGTGCTCCTTGGAGGCCAAGATGGCCAAACTTCATGTCTCATACTTCGGACATATTGTCAGGAGGGACCAGTCCCTGGAGAAGGATAATATGTTTGGTAGGGTGGAGGGTGAGAGAAAAAGAGGAAGATTGCTGCAAAATGGATTGGCAAAGTGGCAGCACCGATGGACTCAAGTGTGGCAACCATAGTGAGGTTAGCCCAGGATCGGGCAGTGTTTCATTCTGTTGCGCATAAGATCAGTACTGACTCAATGGCACCTAATAACAACAACAATCCATACATTGGAAGTACAGTGGCTGTAGAGGATAAACACAAGGGTATGAAACACAAGGTTAGTGGTTTGAGCCCACCAGCCACTCTGAGGAAGAAAGATGAAGATTTTGGTTCCAGTAAATATTTACAGACTCGAAAATTTTTTATTGTGGATCGGAACCAATTCAACAACAGCAACATTTTATAAAAACTAAAATACTGAATCTTTACAATTAAATATATACATCCAATGCCTCAATCAAATTTTCAACTCTTTGTGGATATAGATTAACAAACTACTTTCTAAAGTACATGGGAAAAGAGAAAAACTAGATTTGCAAAAAAAGTGGTCAAGTATATGTTTACACTACCTAACTTTTAGGTTTATTGTGGTTAAAATGCCATAGAGTTGGTTTGCCTCATAGGCATCCTGTATAGGGTTTCTGAGGGGTAGCCCTTGAGCGTGAATTGTGGACCTTGTGATTCAAACCAACCTTGCAGTCCAGCATATTAATTCACAATGCCACACCAGGGTTCCTTACAGCTACAGAAATTAAGAGTGTGATGTGGCTTAAGGATGTTGTTGTTATGTGCCACCGTGTGTGTTCCAACTCACAGAGACCCTATATAGGGTTTCCAAGGAGCAGTTGGTGGCTTTGAACCACTGACCTTTAAGTTAGCATTTCATTTTTCATCTTACAGTGCCACACCAGGATGCACATGTAGAAAACCCAAATAGCTTATGAAATCTAGGAATGGATTTGCACATTTATGGTGAATTGAGCAGCTTAAAGTCTTTTCAATAAATTGGTGTTGTTGTTGCAGTTAAGTGCCATCGAGTCAGTTCTGACCAATAGCCACACTGTGTAGGATTTCCTAGGAGCAGCTAGTGGATTTGAATCCCCGGCCTTGAAGGTTCAAACTGACCTTGTAGTCCAGCACATTATTCTACAGTGAGACATATCAGGACGCTACACCAGTGACCAGGTATCAGGATACACAAATGAAAATAAATCAACTACAACTCTCAAACCATATACAATTATTTTGAGATAATTTATAGATCAAAACACAAAAGCTAAAATTATAAAATGGTTTTAAAAAAAACTTCTAGAAGAGAATATAAGAAAATACCATTACTTGAAATTGGCAGTTAATATTTTACACAGCATATCTAGGTTTTGTGAGTTAAAGCGCCAGACTGCAAAACCATTTGAACTGCACTGCCAATGTTTCAAGCTCACCTGGTGCTTCTCGGAAATTCTATACAGGGTCACTATGGGTCAGAACCAACTCAACAGCACTAACAACAACAACATACATACATAAAAGGAAGTTTTGATAAATTAAAAATGATTAGAATATGAATCAGTTGCTCATCAATAGATATTATTAAGAAAATAAATCGGTAAGCATTAGATTGTAAGAAAATATTTGTAATATATGAATATGATAAAGAATGTGTATCCAGAATGAATAAACTATTCTTTTTTATCAATTACAAAAGATAAACAACCCAATTTTAAAAAGCAAAAGAATTGAACCAAGAATTGGACATTCACAAAAGAAGATATGCAAATGATTAATAAGCATATGTAAAGTTTCTCAACCATTGTTGTTGTTGTTAAGTGCCATCAAGTTGATCCTGACTTTGTTCAAATGACTTTGCAATTCAATGACTTTGCAGTCTCATGCATTAGCCCACAGGGCCACACCAGGACTCCCTATAGCCACCAGTCTGGCTAAAATTACAAAGACTGACAACATCTTTGGTATTGGTTAAGATGTAGAAAATCTACAAGTTGTTTGGTTTGCTGGTGGAAGCATAAAATGACATAACAATTTGGAAAATTGCATAGCAGCTTCTTATAAATTTAAATTACATTAACTCAATTATCCAGAAATTTGACTTCTAGGTATTTCTCCAAATAAAATAAAATTATATGTCCTCAAAAAGATTCACACAAAAATGTTCATCCTCTCAATAAAAATTGAATGAACAAAATATGGTGTAATCATAAAGCTGAATACTTATAAAGTTCAGCAATAAAAATATGTTACATAACATATACATGGATGGATCTTAAAAAGTGAAAAAAGACAGACACAAAATCTAATATATTGTATGATTCAATTTATATAAATTCTAAGAACATGCAAACATAATCCATGCTAATAGGAAATAATTTTATGCATAATGATAATAAATTTAATTGGGATTTCTCTTTTGAAACAGCAATTTTCAGTTACAATGTATTATGAATTGTTTCTAGTTAATTATTGAACATTTTTTGGCCTAGGAGGAAGCATGTAGATTGGAAACAATGCACAGTGTTCAGAAACTGTCTAGTTTTCTATTATGTTTCAATGGTGCCAAAATCATTAATGAAGCTATTGTTTAAAAAAACAATTTTCAAACTAACTTTCAGTATTTAAAATCTTAATGATTATCATTTGAATAACTTTATGGAACTCTAAGAATACAAGAAATTGTGCTAAGCAATTTTTAGGTGACCCTAATTCATTACCCACTTGCCTGTATGAGAAAGATACGCATTCATGAGTATGAATCAGTCATCAGTGTTATGATGTAAACACAAAAAAATGATTCTACCCCTCTGTCAGATGGCTAATTTGAAGATACATCTCTTATAGACTGATACTCACCAATTATTATTGGCTGTGGTTCACTTTTTACTCCAATCCCTGCACTGGTACTAGCTGCAACTTCTACCCGATATTGAATACCTGGGAATAATCCACCAATTATAACAGATCGAATGGCTGCATCCACAGTTTTGTTGATATGAAATCGAGTTTCATTTCCCAAACACCAGATCTATAGAAATTGAAAATTAATAATAAAAGAATATGAAGTTACTCTTTCTGGTACTTATACTATTACAGTTGATTTCTTTAAATGGTGACCAATTTCTTTTCAAGGGATGTACATTGTTTGTTGTTGCTAAGTGGCATCAAGTTGGGTCCAGCTTATAGTAATCCTGTGTAGAGTTTCCAAGGATCAGCTGGTGGATTTGAACCATTGACCTTGTGGTTAGCTGTCCAGTGCTTACCCTATAGCACCACACCAGGGTAGCATATATGTTTGCAAATGGCTATTCAAAAGCTCAAATTCTAAAGTTTATTTTCATATATATACATTACATGTATATGCATATTAAAGCGATGACATAAGGGATTCTAAAACTATACCATGTATGTTTAAACTATACCATGTATGTAGTGTCAGCACTGAATGATCCCTTAATGCAAATGATTCCCTTAATGTTTCTGGAAAGTGGTTTTTAGTTGCAAATGGCATTATGATATGGATTAAAATGCATATTTATTGGAATAATTTATCTATCAAGATTTATTATATATAATCTATATAACTATGTTGATTATAAGTTCTAATATCTATAATATGTAGGTATACAACTAAGTAATTTATATTTCATTTAAGAAAATATTAACTTTTACAGAAGTAGTTAACAAGATTAATTGACCTAAATTATAGATATTGACAAAGATGAAATTAAAGTCAATATTTACATTGACAGTAATAAATCTTGATATTGATCAAAACATATACACACACATACAGATACATGATAGTCAAATAGTGAATGAAAAGTCTTTAAGCACTAATGTTGGGAACCACAGGCCTTCACTTCATAGAGGAAACTAATTCTAGGGTATATTTACTTCTTGATATGGAAATCTCACTGTAAAATGTACTCTAAAATAATTCCACTGTGTACATATATTTGCATACATATTATGTTCTATTTCATGTAGGAACACACATAGTTTATTTCTGAAACTAGTTAAGTTCCTGAAATTTTTCTGTAAAATAATGTTTGACTAGTGGTTTTATTATTTACATTATACTTGTTTTCCAAATAGAAGAATATTAAGATCTCACCCAAATGCATACTTTCTTTCCAACTATGACAGTATCAAATGAGTGAAAAACTTTACAACTTATGTAAAAATGACATACTAAATGAGACTTTAGGATATTAATCACAGAACTAAATTCTTATCAGAGGACATATACATGTACAGTCATAGTAGATAAGTATTAGCTTTAAAAACTGTTTCCTAACACCTGTAAAACTTTAGGAGCTATATAAATGTTGTTGTAAAACAAACTATTCTTTTATTTCTTAAATACGCTTTCTTTAACATGATGTGGAAACATTCATGCTTATGTATATACCATCCATTGGCTTCAGTACATTGTTCTTAATTTCAAGAAAATTATATTTTAAAATTGTTTTCCTTAGAGACAGCAATATACGTATAATGATATTTTTTACTTATATTATTCAATTTTATTTCACCAACCAATTCTGAATTCCTGGGTAAGATGAGGTGTCTAGCTGTCTGTTCTATTAGAATGATCTAGTATGGTGTTTTTGGAATTCTATAAATACTTATTGTAGAAGGGCAGTTCTGTAGGATAAGTACTGGACAGCTAACCTAAGGTCAGGGTTTGAGCCCACCAGTTGCTAAGCAGGAGAAAGATGAGGGTTTCTGCTCCGACAAAGAATCACAACCTCGACAACCCTATACAGGGTCACTGCGAGTTGCAACGAACTCTACAGCACTTAATGACAACAACATAAATAGTTGTTAATAGCACAAAATTCATAGTTTTGAATTTTTACAAGGTTTAAAATGAGGTGTCTTACACTCATGCATAGTATAATTGTATCACAATTTAACAAAATCTCATTTCAATAGATATATTCTGCATCTTAAATAAACATAAAATGATTATAATAGATAAATAACGTTTCTAAATAGTAGCAAACTCACCAGTTGAAAAATGAGACACTCAACTATTTTTATGTCAGTTTTCTCAGACTTTGATTTTCCAGAGGTTCTTTTTTATAAGTGAAATTTTATAGAAAACCGTAATAAATTAATAAAACAAAACTAAGATTCAGACTGATGATGCCTATCCTCTTATCTGTGCCCCACTCCTGTCCTATCCCTCCCTACCACATCCTCTAAACCTTGAAGGATCTTTCTCTCAGAACACAGCTTAAAAACAACTGTCCTAAAGCCTTTTACATAAGGGTGGCACTGTAGGATAAAGCACTAGACCATAAGGTCAGTTTGAACCACAAGGTTGGTGGTTCAAACTCACCAGTCACTCCTTGGGAACCCTATACAGGGTTGCAATGAGTTGGAATGAACTCGACAGCATTCAACAACAGCAAAGTCTCTTACAAATAACTCCAATACCAAAGTGAATGACAGTTCTTGACATGAGGACTTGCCAACCTACCCATCCCCCATAACCCTAAATTCCCAGATTCTGGAATCACACTTTAAAATAATTTATTTTTTAGTGTTGTGATTTAATTGTCCAACTGTGTTTGTGTTTTACATATGTAACCTTGGAGTTAGGGTCTAATCCCCTACCCATTTATTTTATTGCATGTCACACGCACGTGATCATTGTCAAGTTAATAATCACTTTGTGTTTAAACTCTGTTAGAGGGCTGCCAGAGACAAGCCTTACCACAGTGGGCTGTCTCTGGGAACCTCTTTTGTGTGACCCTACCTTGTATTCTTGGATAATTCCATTCTGATGATCTGGAGGAGGTGGATCCCAGGAAACACTAATACTTGTGCTATTGTGACTTCCAACTATTAACACAGTGACAGATTGTGGAGGAGCACTTGGGGCTGCAGAGGGAGCAATTAGAATAAACACAAATGGTTAAGTCTTGAGGAGAATTATTGCTGCTTACCGAATATGAATATAAAGACAGGATGCATAAGCTTCTAGCTTCCAGTAGTTCTGAATTTGATTATAGTGTTCAATAGTGACAAATATGAAAAAAAGAAAAGTCTATAAAATATGTGTAATGTAGAAATTTAAAGCAAATGCAACAGTTGTAGTATGCACTCAATAGTAAATGTAACAGCCAAGAGTACAATAGTAAATGCTAATGAATATTTTCTATGTGCTTAACACTGAGTTAAGTGCCTGACAATTCTCACAATAACCTCAGAAGGAGTAAACAATGCCTATCTTTGTTTTACAGATGACCAAACAGATGGTTACTTTAACAGATCTCACCAAGTCAGTGAAAGGCTGGATTTGACCCAGGTATGTCTGATTCTAGAACTTTGGTTCCTTCAAGTCTGATTCTAAAAAAAATACTGCTATCAAAAATATTTTGAGATGATATATTCCAAAATTTTAACACTAGTTGTATGTGAGTGGTGACATTAGTAACAGTGGCTTTATAATGATTCATGTTTTATTTAATAAATAAAAATAAACACAGCATTTTCACAACACAGAAAAATACTTTGTTTTCATATTTAGCAAAATGATTTTGATAAATCAACCTCTATTTTAAGATATAAAACTTATTTTATTATGGATGTGTAAAGAGCTCTTATAATATAAATAAAATCAGTTCATGAAGGGTTAAATGTGAAATGAGCAAATTTTAATTTCCTATAATAATGATTTTTCCTTTATAACTTCTTATATAACTAATTACAAACACAATGAAAAAAAGATGAGTAAGAAACTATTTCTGAATTTAAAATGCAGCATCTCCAATACACTATATCTGAGAGGTGAGAAAAAAGTAATTTTTTAGAGGAAAAAAAAATCTCTTCTCAGTGAATCTCTGGATTTAAATCAAAGTAGAAAAGCAAACTCAAAAGACTGTAAAATTCCCCTCAGCAGTTAAAATATCAAATAATTTTGTAGTATTAAAGGATTTTCATAGAACAGGGTCAATGTTCTATGAAATGTAACTCCTTTAAAGATATGTAATGAGCTGTTTTAAGAGCTTGTCAGTAAGGATTCCCAAGTTTGGTGAATTTGTCATAATTATAAATTTCACTGAAGTCTGGCCATATTTACATTGAGATGGGATACACGCAGACACATGTTGAAACAATACACCTCTTTATTATTCCTCTAGTTGAAAATATTGTTCCAAAATATGGCACACTGACATAAATTTAACTACTTGTCTACCAGCTCTGTAGTTGTGAAATAGACCACACTAAAAAGAGCACTTTTCAAAACTGGCTTGGCAAAAACACCACACATGCTTCCTGACAGGTCAATTATTCCAGCACTCAACTTCTTTCTACAGATGTGAAAAGAACCCAAAGCGCTGCTCATCATCCCCAGATACAGGCCAGCTGAGTTTCATTTGTTACCTTTATAAGGCCATAGAAATTAGAGATGAATGCATACTGAATGGTATCAAAAGTCTGATCCAGAGGAAGAGAGTTGCACTACAGTGAAACTGATTTTTGGAAGTATGTTTCAAATGTAGACTTCAATATTAAATGTATCCACCCCACTTCTAAGTGTTACAATTGTATATCATAAAGTAACAATACATGGAGAATAAAGAACTATCATTAATTTTTGGTAATTTTGCTCTACTTTTTACATATTCTTAAAATAAACTAATGATGTCTTTGGAAATATCAACTTCACTACATGCCGATATTTCATCCTGTAAATTATAGGGAGATAATATTTTAAAAGAAACATACTTTATAAGTTCTTTGGGCAACAAGGACAGGTACATGTCCTCATGAGGAATCTACATATTTTAATACTGCTCTTATATCACTTTATAGATAGTATGTTTAGAGTAGAGTTTTAATAAGAGTTACACACATAAACTATGTACAAAAGGGCAACTCTATGATGTTTAGTATCTGAGTTAGGTTATGTTGATGGTGCTGTGATGAAGGAGCTTTTAAGAAAAGGCTTGGCCAAAGCCTATGTTCATTCATATCCATTATACTTAAAAGTGTCTGAAGGCAAGAAAAATTCCAAAGGGGAGGGGAAAAAACAAAACAAAAAGAAACTTCACTAAGAAGTTGTTGTTGTTGTTATGTGCTGTGGAGTTGGTTCCGACTAATAGCGACCCTGTACAGGGTTTCCTAGGCTGTAAATTTTTACGGGAGCAGAAAGCCTCATCTTTCTCCCGTGGAGCAGCTGGTAGTTTCGAACTGCTGACCTGGCAGTTCACAGTCCGATTCGTAACCAATACGCTACCAGAGCTCCTTTCACTAAGATGAAAGCCACTGAAAATATGCAAGTGACTTTCTGGCAGAATCCACAGAGAATTTTTCTGTGGATAGATAAGAGAAAATGTCACGTTTACAACACCAAAGAAAGAAAAGTCACAAAGAATAGCATATGTTCTTATGTTTCCTACAGCAAGTCATTTAATGAAGCTAAATGAGCTAAAGGTCACATAAGACATATTGAAAAATATTGTAATTCAATTGCAGTCTAGAGATAAACATAAGAAAAAATGTTTACTTAGGAAAAATTCGAAGTATTTAAATTTGTTTTTTGAGTTGTCACAGCATCTTACAGAATTCTCAAGGAAAAAAAACAAAACAAGAAACACTTCCTAAATTAATTTTTAGATTATTTCTTTCGACTCTTCTAACCACCAGTTCAGTGGTTCAAACCCATCAGTTATTACATGAGAAAAAGTTGACTCTCTACTCCTATAAAGAAAACCCTCTATTGGGTCACTATAGGTAGGAACTGATTCAATAGCAGTGATTTTGGTACTCTTTTAAGGTGATAATAAGCTAGTATTATAACAGAAATTGATTTTATTATGGTATGGTAGTGGTGGTGGTTGTGCTCTGTCTAGTGGGTTCTGACTTATAGCAATCCTGTATAGGTTTCTGAGACTAAACCTTTACAGGAGCAGAAAACTTGTTATTTCTCTCAAGAAAGAGCAGGTAAATTTGACTTGCTGACCTTGCAGTTGCAACTCAACTCAAAACCATTTGTGTTTGAAATCTAAATACTGACCTTCTTCAGTAGTACGAACTATTTTAGATTCACTATCCATTCCTTGGAACTCATTAAAATATGGTCGAACTTTAATTTCATAAGTTACTCCCTTTTTCAGATTGACTAAAACAGCATTTCTTTCAGTTGGGACTTTGGCATCTAAATTCTGCCATGCCAATGTAGCTTGCAGACCAGAAGTCTGCCGATACATAATCCGGTAGCCTTGAATAAATTGGGGCTGACGATCCACCTGAAAGATACAATGAACATTTAAAACAAAATGGAGATATTTCAGACATAACAATGGATCCATGCGTTTTTCTCTTGTCTTTATTTCAGTCTTCATCAACTGTCACCCAAGTGGCATATCTCTGCATATGATATCCGGTTCCAACTCCATGTTCATATTGCTCCAAATTTATACCCAAAACAAAGCGCAACATATCTCTCTCCTGTTTAAAATACTCCATCGTATACAAGATAGCTATGTATTAGATTCAGATGCCTAGGCCTGGTCTCACTAATTTCCCTAGCATTGTTTCCTATCTCCACTATCCACCTGTAAGTTTGTTATACTATGATGGCTTGCTTGTTGCTGCGATTCTGGAAGCTATACAACCAGTATTTCTTCTTTTTTTCTTTTCTTTTGAAAATTTTATTGTAACTTGAGTGGAAGCTTTCAGAGCATACTAGTTTTCCATTATAAAATGTATCCACAATTTACTTTGTGATATTGACTGCAATCCCGTAATGTAATAGCACTCTACCCATTTCCCTGGATTCCCATTTCTAGTCATCTCTCCTTCTTGCCCCTTTCTGTCTTCTGAGCTTTGCTTTTAAACAAATGCTACCCTACCCTTTTGGTCTCATATATTTTAATATTCTGAGGAGCACACTTGTCACATATTTCATTATTTACTTTATAGGCCTATTATTTAGCTGAAAGTTTATCACCAGAAGTGGGGTAAATTTCAGACTTGAAGGGTGTCTAAGGGCCACCTTAGTTTTGGTAGTTACATGAGTCTCTCTCAGATCAGTAAATCTGGTCTGCTGTATTCTTTTGGATCCTGTTCTACTCTTTGTTTCTTTAGGGCCTGGTAATTTTGGTAGTGTGGTGGTTACAAATCGGGCTGCTAACCTCAGGGTCAGCAGTTCGAAACTACCAATTGTTCTGCAGGAGAAAAATGAGGCTTTCTGCTCCTTTAAAGATTTACAGCCTCCAAAACCCTGTACAGGGTTGCTATGAGACGGAACCAACTCCACAGCACATAACCACCACCAGGGCCTGATCAGAATATCTATGCCACATGTTTTTCAAATACCAGCAGACTAACCCAAGATAGATAGGTTTCATTAGTACTCCCAGGCTAAGAGAGTCTAGGAATAAAGGCCTGGTGATCTAATTCTAAAAATATAACGCTTAAAGCCTTACATATATATCACAACAGAACATTGGAATCAATCACTTGCTTGTTTTGAACACAGCATCAGGAGGAATCATACACTGAAGGAGGACATCAGGCTTGGTGACGTAAGTGAAAGGATGGTGAGCGTGACAGATGGATTGGTACAGTAGGTGCAATGATGACCTCAGACATGCTGGCAGTTGTGAGGATGATGCAGAACTGGATAGCATGTCATTCTCTTGTATATAATGTTATCATAAATCAGACTCACCAATAGCAATTTATCTGTTATGCTGTCTGTCTGTCTGGGTAACTCTTTATCTACTTCAGATCTGCTTTCTTTTACACTGTACTCAAATCTGATTTTGTGACTTTATATGCAATGTGTATTTTTCCAGAAATTTTCATCTTTACCCTTTGTTTAGTCATTAACTTTACTCCCTCAAAATATATTTTCTGAGTTCCTACTAATTGTTGTTGTTGTTAAGTGCAGTTGAGTCGGTTCTGACCCATAGTGATCCTGTATCGGGTTTCCGAAGAAAGGCTGGTGAGCTTGAACCACCAACCTTGCTGCTCAAACCTAAATTGCAGTCCAACGCATTAACCCATAGCACCACATCAGGAGTCCTCCTACTAATAAGTGTCATAAATTTTAATAAGTTCTAGGGGTAAATTGGCATACTGGTGTGGCGCTGTGGGTTAATGTGCTAGATTGCAAGTTCAGCTTGAACTGAAAGGTGGGCAATTCAAACTCATGAGTTGCAAACAATGCAACAGCACTAGACAACAGCAAAAAGGTAAAATAGGGAATTGAAATAGTCAGGGTCTGCTCTTAGGATGTTAACTAAGAACACAAGCAGATATTGTTGTTCCTTATCCAAAATCCTACCAACTATGGTCAAATGACAATCATAACACACAAACATAAGCAAATGTTAAGAATGATGTACAAGGAGCTAAGGAATCCCCCAGTGGGGAGCAAGTGTCTGAGTTAGGAAAGGCAGATAAAGTTTCTCAAAAGAAATAATCAATACAGAGACATTGAAGAAGAACAGGGTTTATACAGGGTGGATGGAGAATAGGGACAGAATGTGGCTGGAGAAAGCATATTACAAAGACTAAAAGTTATGATTTAAATTCATATGTTGTAAATTCACATGGTATATTTACATTAGCAAATGTTAAATGTCTTTTTTTAATAGTCCTATGATTGGCACAATTTGACAACTTCAATGATTTCTTCATGTATTTAAGGCATAGAATATAAGCAACATGATTCAACAAAGATCTGAGATTTTGAATCTAAAAACTGATATTAAATAGAGCTAAAGGGCAAATGTTGTATTTTCTATATTGTACAATTTTAAAAAGTAGAGCAGCTGAAAAGTATGTTGCTTACTTTTATAGGAATTAAATAAAAATCAAAGATGTATAAATACAAGATAAAAATGAACATACTCTGTCGGTGTACTCATTAAAAAGGCTTTGGAGTTGTACTGTTGTTTCATTTTCATAGGAAAAAGGGATTTTAGCTTTTTAAGCAATGTTTAATGTCTTGCCATATTTCTAGGAATGCTTCATTTAAACAAACTATAACAGAACTTCTTCTAATTAACATTCCATATCATAGTTTAATATCCATATTCTAAGAAGTCCTTATCTTGACACATTTCACTGTCAAGTAAAGTATAAAGATTAATGGAGAAGAAAGAGATGAAATAACGTCATTTCAGGAAGATTGAGGAGAAATGGAAATTACAGAATGTGAAGATGGAGATGGCTATTTCAGTTTTTAAAAATGTCTTTATCCAATTGCCAGCATATTATAAAAAATGTATTCTTTACATGTCAACTTTCAGCATTTCTTATATAGTTGTAACATTATTTTTATATACACAAAAATAGTCAGTTATATATGTATGTATATAAACCGACTTTGCATTCTACTACATTAACCAACAGCACCACACCAGGCCACACACATTAATACATATATCCACCATTCTTCTGTAAGTTTGTCGTATTGTGGTGGCTTGTGAGATGCTGTGATTCTGAAAGCAGCAGGGTCACCCATGGTGGACAGGATTCAGATGAGTTTCCAGACAAAGACATACTAGGAAGAAGAACCGATGAACTACTTATGAATAATGGAGAAAAGATTGAGGTTGTCAAGGACTTCCTTTTTTTTGGATCAACTATCAACACTCATGGAAGCAGAAGTCAAGAAATCAAATGATGTATTGCATTAGGCAAATCTGCTGCACAAGACTTTTTAAAGTGTTGAAGAGCAAAGATGTCAGAAAGCTTGAGGACTCAGGTGTGCCTGACCGAAGTCATGTTATTTTCAATAACCACATATGCATGTAAAAGCTGGACAGTGAATAAGTAGGACCATAGAAGAATTGATGTTTTTGAGTTATGGTGTTGGAGAATATTGAAGGTGTCATGGGCTGCCAAAAGAACCAACAGATCCGTTTTGGAAGAAGTGCAGCCAGAGTGCTCCTTGGATGCCAAGATGGCCAAACTTGGTCTCTCGTACATATTGTCAGGAGGGACCAGTCACTGGAGAAGGATATCATGTTTGGCGAGGTGGAGTATCAGAGAAAAAGAGGAAGACCCCCAACGAGATGGATTGGCCAAGTGGCAGCATTGATGGACTCAATTGTGGCAATAGTATTGAGGTTGGCCCAGGATTGGGCAGTGTTTCATACAGTTGCTATGAGTCGGTACCAACTCGATGGCACCTAACAACAACAACA